TGAGTGAGGTGGTGCTCTCCTCCTCCTCCTCCTCCTCCTCCTCCTCCTCCTCCTCCTCCTCCTCCTCCTGACGTGGCCTCAGGTCACGTTTGAAGTCGGCTTAAGGCGACCCTTGCGCCCTCTGTTGCTAGATAGGCCCACACCAGGGGCGAGGCTTGGCGCCGTCCTGGCGTTCTCTACGCCAGGAGTAGCTGTGCCTCGTCATCCTGGCATCGCCACGTGACTATCTCGTGCGTGTGCATGTGCGTGCGCGCGCTGTGTCTGCACGTGTGTCAGGCACCCCGCCTCAGGGGGAAGGTCGTTCTCCCGGACAAGGCCCTTCATTGCCCTTTTCAGCGTCGGCAGCGATCTGCCGTCTCTGTGGCTCTGGCTCTGCCTCGGCCGCAGTGGATCAGATAAGTGGTTCAGCGCCACGAGGTTTCGGATTAGGGTCGGGTCAGACAACCCTTAGCCTCCCTCATCATCCAAATGATGGTCCTCCTCCTCCTCCTCCTTCTACTCCTCCTCCTCCTCCTCCTCTTTCTCCTCCTCCTCCTCCTCCTCCTCCCGTTACTCTGCTTAGCCGTGCGCTCTGGCTTCACAGTGCTTCACCCTGTGCTGGTTTGCGGGGCGGCGCTTAGAGAAGCGGGATCGATGCTGCGGTCGCCGCGGAACAAAGAACAAACTCTGGTCGTGTGGCTTACGCGTTGTGCCGCAAATGGTTTCTAAGTGTTTGACTACCTACCAGACCACCCCAACCCAACCCGAAGACCCGAATTTCGGGTTGGGGGGCTTAAGGGTTCCACCTGTGTTTTTTCGATGTTTCGCGACACCCCCACCACTGGAAATCGAGGGTAAATCTGAACCTTCGGGTTGGGTTGGGGTGGTTTGGTGGGTGGTGAGATTTTTGGCTCAACTTGCGGCCTTCTGATCCCGCTTACCCTCCTAATCCTCCTCCGAACAGCCCCGTGCGTGAGCACCTCCTGCTTGTCGGACGCGGTTGGAGGCCATGCAACTCCACATGGGGATGTCCACATCGGGATGGCCGAAATGACGGGGGGGGCGGCGACAGGCCGCCACTTTTGCAAGACAACCGACGCTCAAAACATTACCAAACCACCGTCTCAGCTCAAATTCTAGCTCAATTTGCTTCAACTCGGGCGCAATGGCGCGCGCTTCTAAGATGAACGGGCGGGGGAGAGCCTCCCGGGTAGCACGGGGTTCGCTTCCCTCCTGGCCCTCGCTTCCAAGGTCACGAAAGGGAAAGCGCGTGGTCCTTTTGTGGGGTTCCGCTCGCAGGCTGAGGGCCACCCCGCTGCGGACGCCCGTCGCATCATCGAGGGTGGGGCTAGGGCACCTGTCAGCCGCTGCCCACAGAGCTGGCCACCAGCTAGCCACGCTCAACATGCGGCGCGTGCTGCGCACCGCCTGCTAAGCCCGGAAGTGCGGCGGCTGGTGCTGCCCCTACGGGCTCGGGGGTTCCAACCGCCCAACCCACGCAGGTAGCCAGCCTCCGATTTGGCTGGCCGCGCCCGCCATGGCAGTGTGAAACCATGCGCGGTCCATATCATGCGGCCACGGGGCGCGCTTCAGACCTCCTGCAGGGCAACCGCAGCACTTGGTTCGAGTTTCGCGGGGCTGGGAGGCGAAGATTGCGGAGCCACCCGGAAAACCGCTTCGACTGAACCTACAGTCTAAGATACACAAGCTACATGGTAGCCAGCGCGGCACCTAAACAATATACGTGTGTTCTAACACGTTATGGTTTGCCATGCATGTTGTAGTATGTGAAGTACAATGAGAGGTGCAATGCGTATTGTGCATTGTGCGTCGTGCAATATATGTGGTGCAATCTGTATTATGCAATCTATGGTATGCAAAATATGTTGTTCACTGTATCGGCGCTGCCCAATCTATATTGTGCAGTCTGTGTGGTGCGCATTGTATACGTTGCAATCGATGTGGTGCAGAGTAATTGGTGCAACCCGTGTTGTGCATTCAATGCCGTGCACAGACGTGGTGCAAGATGGGTTGTCCAATCTATACTATACGATGTACGCTGAGCAATCTACCAACGCCCAAATTGATGTTCACAACTCCACCGCTCGCGCAACCATCCCGAGCACCCACCACAACTTGGTTCGAAAACGCCATGCGGAGGCGATTGCCATGATTGCTTGCTTGGTATTGGCTGGTGCATCTCTGCGGCCGCGCCAGCCCGCGCATGCACGCGCGCGCAACGGCCGGGGCGGCGGTGACCACTGGGCATACCCCAGCGGGCACTTCAATGCGAGTCGGCGAGTCGAGCGGGCGCGGTATCATGGCAACGTCGACAACGGTAGCCACGATGATGATAGCAACGATGCTGGTGGCGATGTTGACAGCGACGACGGCACGGCCAGTGACGGCACCGATGCTGATCACGCCGACGACGATGACGGCGTCCTCGCGTCGGTGATGAAGGTTTTCGAAGGAGTTCGACATGCGCGCAAGGCCGACGCGCGAGAGCGGCCTGCATGGTGTAATTTGGCACGGATCGTGCCCCCCCGAACACGCGCGCAAGGGCGTTCGAATAGTTTCGGCATGCGGCGCGAGTCCCGTTTGGCAGGAATTAATGAACAGGTTAAACAACCTAAAGATTCGCAAGAGCGCGGGCGCAGGTCTTTTGGAAAACTGCTGTTGGGGATGTCTTGCTCTAAAACGAAACAATCGGGACGCTGGAGTTTGACATCCTTACGCAAACTGGGGTTTTTGATGGGCTTCGGCATGCGCGCGCGCGAGGACGCGCGGGTGTGCACTTTGTCCCGTTTTTTGTACAAGGATCCTTGTGACAGCACGCGCGCAAGGGCGCATGAACGATTTTGACATGCGCGCGCGAAACCCTTTGTGGTAGCATTCTATGAAAATGAAAGAATGCGCAAAGAGCGCGAGCGCGAGCTTTCGTAAACAGCACTTTTTGAAACCATGTGCTGGGGGGCAAACTTGCGACATTGCCCGGAGTTCGCCAGTCGAGCCTCCGGGCTGCTGGACGGCCACCCGTCGGGGGCTCTGCCCGCAGAGCCTCCTGATCCCATCGGAGCGGCGGCCACAATGCTTTCGGTGGTGCTTGTATGTTTTTGTCCCCCCTCCCCCCGCGCTTTGCATGTGTACTGGGCGGTCCTGCGTTATGCTTCTGTGCCCTCGGGCTTCTGCCCAGGCGTCGTTTCCCGACCGTTAACTCTTGTCCCAGGCTCCCATGCTGGAGTGGTCCTCTGTCCCGGGTAGCCGCCGTTGCCACTCCCACCTGCGCCTCGCATGTCAAGTGGTACTGCCGCAGTGTTTCGTCATTCCCTCCTTTGTCTCTTACCAGCCTGGAACATATCCCTATCCCTATGCTGGGCACCTCCTCATCACGATGCCAACCTTAGGGATTCCCTTATTTTTTGAGGGCGGATCCCTAAGATTGTCATCGCCTTTCGGCGTGTCATATCTTAGGGATAGGGATACGTTCGAGGCTGGTAAGTCTCCTGGTCTTTCCCTCTTTTTCCCCCGTCTGTCCCCTCACGGTTGCCCCCCCCCTGTGAATGTCGCTGGCGATCGATCCCCTGATGGGTGGATCCAGCGTCTCCCCGCAGCGTGGAGTGGGCCGGCCCGCGCGCTTCCTCGACCCTCTCTACGCCGCGACACCGTGCGACGGCAAAATGTGTGTATGTGCGTGTGTCCCTTGAGGGGCAGGCAGCGTGCGCGTCTCTCGTTTGGGGACGTTCTCCGCCTCGTCGCTGCACACGGGGCCGCGATCGCCAAAAAGTGTGTGTGTATACATATATATATATATATATAGATGTGTGTGTATGTATATGTGTGTGGACTTGCCCTACGCTGTGTGTAATGGCGTCCAACTGCATCGACCTTTGCATCTGTACCGCTCGACTGGTGTCTCGTCGGGCCGCTGACGCGAAATGTGTGCACTGAGGAGGAGGAGGACTCGAGCTCCAATGACTCCACCGAGAAAACGAAGGAGCGACGACTTAACATGAAAAAAAGCGGTAGTCTAGAGCCGCGTGGGATGTCACCGCTTAGGGGGATCCCAGTTCGAGGGTGGCCTGCGAAGCGGGGGACGAGGGAGAGGGAAAGCAGGAAGGGGGGGCATCATCATCGGGGACGAACTGCCGACATAAACATGCGCTCTTCCGAAGGCCCGCGCGGATGCCCTGGATCGGTGCTGGACCCCCCTCCCTGGCGCGCGCAACGCGCAAAAAGGCCAGCGCCGGAGGCGCTGCCACGGAGCTCCGGCGCCGACCCGAGAAATCCGCGCGGACCTCCGCCTCCTCCTCCTCCTCCTCCTCCTCCTCCTCCTCCTCCTCCTCCGCCATGCCGCTGATCCCCGGCCTCGCCAGGGGTGCGTCTGGACGCGGACTTCGAGGCGACTCCGGCCGCGTCGACGAGAGCCTGCCAGGAGGCCCCGGAGGAGCGAAGCCGGGGGAAGAGCCGCGGAAACGACGACGAGGGCAAGTTGAGCAGGGGCCGACCGTCCCAGCACTCCTATAGTCCTACCACGAAATGTTCTTAGAACCCAAAGATGTTACAAGAACAAGAACAGTGTCCTCAGAGCATTCACCCGATGTCTTAAAACAAAACGCTCCCAGCCAGAAATGCTCTAAGAACATGTTGTGGAAGCCTCAAAAGGTTCTTAGAACATTGCTTGGTAGGGCTACAGGCGAGCCAGGACGCTTCGCCACTGCTTGATGGCGAGGGAGCCGGACAGGGGGAGGGCGAGGCGGGCGCCCAGGTGACCCCCGGAGCCCGCGGGCGCACGCGACGGGCGCACGCGGAGCCGGAGCGGAGGGGGGGGCGAGGAGGAGGAGGAGGCTGAGGAGGAGGAGGAGGAAGAGGAGGCGGAGGGAGGAGGGAGGAGGGAGGAGGGAGTAGGGAGGAGGGAGGGAGGAGGAGGAGGAGGCGGAGGAGGAGGAGGAGGAGGAGGAGGCGGAGGAGGAGGAGGAGGCCGTCTGGGCGAGGCCGCGCGCAGCCACGCGTGCGGGGCGTCACGACTGGCTCTCCCACTGCTCCTCCCAGGGAGGGAACGGCCCAGGCGCCATCCACAGCAAGTTAGGAGGCAGCTGCTGGGAGGTTTTCGTCGGGAGGACTAGGGAGGATGCCGGATTAGACGGGATTAAGTGGGATTAAGCCGGATGAAGCGGGATAAAGCGGGATTAAGCCGGATTAAACGGGATTCCGGACAAGGGCTAAATCAGAATTTGACCTCCAAGGACTTGCATCCGAAAGCAAGGATGCAAGATGAGGGAAAAGGCCATCAGAAGTCCCGGTTGCGATTGGCAGTTCCTCGGATATCAGCATGGGCCCGGGTGGGCCGAAGAGGCAAGGATGCAGGGTAGTCTTGATGAAGCAGCACCTCCTTAACATGGATTTTGACTGTAGGGGGGACCAGCTCAGAGGGGGAAGCATCGAACGGGAATCGGCGATACATCGCCGATAGATCGGCGACAGGCCCCCGATGGCGAATCCGCTCGCTCCTGGGCGGGGTGGGCGATCGGGGCCCCATCGGCGATGAGTTATTGGGGGTCGATGCATCTCCCCCTCCTCCTCCTCCTCCTCCTCCTCCTCCTCCTCCTCCTCCTCCTCCTCCTGCTCCTCCTCCTCCTCCTCCTCCTCCTCCCCCTGAGCCGATCCCTCCCAACGTTGCCCCTGACCTCCACACGGGCCCTCTTCTTGATCTGCGTCCAGAACACGACGGCCACGGGGTAGGACAACATGAAGAACAGCGCCGCCCCGAACAGAGCGGGGTCCTCTCAGGGATACGCCAAAGAGTGGGGGGGGGTCAGCGAATCAGCCGCGCGCAGCTGCTCTCCCCGCCGCCTCCAGCGCCTCAGGGCGGCTACGGATCGAGGAAGCTGCCTGGCGGCAGAGCCAGAACCAGCTGCGCGCAACAACGTTCGTAACACTCCCTCCGTTTCCTCCCCCCCTCTTTCGTCCACCCCGATCCTTTCTGACGAAGCCCATCAGAGCTTCGGATCCGCCCTCCACGAACTTGAAGTGGCAGCCAGCCGCTGCAGCGACCGCGACGTACTCGAAAACCCGCAGCCCGACCAGGAAGTTGGCGAATTCCTCTCGCTCCTCGTCGCGCTGAAAGAAGTTTACGTTCACCATCAGGGAGACAACCGCGAGGGAGAGGCACGCGAGAAGCCTCGTGGCCACACCCGTCAGCCTCGCCAAGGCCGCCGTGCAAACGAAATCTGCCAATGCCACGGCCGGAACCACGAAGATCCCTGCGTCGCCCAGCTCATCCCGGCAGAACTCGTGCAGGAGCAAGCCGCAGAGCAGACGTGCAGTGATCTCCGTCATCCTGAATATGCCCACCATCTCCTTCCAAACAGGGTTCTGTACCAGCCTGCAAAGCACGGAGCTTTCGGTGCCATCGAGGCTGGACGCGGCATTGCCTATACATCGAATCGAGCAGATCGCGGACAACAGCCTGCCCCGATAAGCCCAAGTGGTTCTCACCCTTTCGTTGTCTACAACTAAGGCTAGAGTGGTGATGCCAATGGGTGTGGCCTGCAAGGTCGCATGTATCGTTTTGACGATGCGCAGCTGTTCCAATGCAAGGTATTTGTTTCGGTATGCAGCATACGCCTTCCATGCAAAAATCCGCTCCCCCATCCAGCGAGGGTTTGCGATGGAAAGGCGGTGCCGCACATCCCCATCGACGTGTGCCTTCTTTCCACGCGTAAGCCCAGATTTGGACCAAAGGTGAGGTGACTGGCGGGATGGGCCTTAGGTGCGTTCCCCCCCGGCCTTCTCTCATTCCTGGTTGTGCAACACATTTCCCTTCTAGACGTTCCTGCTGTTGTTGCTAACTTCTGAATAGTATGTGTTCGCCTTCTGGTTTTCAAGTTTATCATCCGTGACGTCGAGAATGCTGAACGCCGTGCGACCCTAACTTTCTAGACGCCTCGAGAGAAACACACACACACACATATTTTAGACAGCAGCGCTCTGAACAGCGAACCTCCAGGAATCTGCGTGGGGCCCAGGACCAGTCGGATAGACCCATCGCCACTTCCAAGCATCGAACGTGTCGCTTTCGGCAGGCTGAAGCTGGGTGGTCGGCGCGGCTGTTAGCGACCATCTATGAAGAGAGGCCTTCGGGGTCGGCCCACGTGCCATGCACATGGTCGCCGCGCATTTTGATGTCCCGCGCGGGCAGAGATAACATTCGAAAGCACGGGTTTACGAAGACGGCTACCATGACCACGTCTTGGGAACTGATGGTTTCGAAGAGGCTACATCACTGCTACACCGCAAGCAGTAACATCTCGCTCGCTGGGGGGCCGCGACTCCTCTCAGGAGCCCGTTGCCAGAAGCACTACAAAGTAATTCGCCTTCGGCCCGAGCGTCACCAGAGGGGCTTTTCACTGCCCAGTCGAGCGCGTGGGCGCAGCGGTCCAAGGCGCACCTAGCCGTGAAGACCAGACGCCCCTCCAGGTGCAGTAACTCGAACTCGGCACTGTCTGATACATCGATTGGTTTCCGTTCGCAGCGTGCTGGGTGCTGGAGCCAGCCCTGGACGGAGTTTTCGCACGCGGGAACGGCGCGCTTCCCTGAGACGCGGACCCTGGCATCCTCGGATCGATGGAAGCCGTGACCTTGCTGTGGGCGCGGTGCGTGGCCGCGGCAACGCGCTCACCTTGCGCAGGAGCCTGGGCTCGCCGTCCTCACGAGGTCGAAGGCGTCGAGCCCCAGCTCGAAACCTACGACCCCCGCCGACCTGAGATCAGACTCGCGGCCCAGGCTGTGATGTGGTGGCGTGGCGTATCGGTGGCGTCCGCTGCCGACGGCTTCCTCTGCGAGGTGACGTAGAGAGGCCGAGCGAAAACGGCTTCCCGCGCTCGCGCTGCGCCGCAGCAACCCTGCGGCGCGCAGGGCAGCCGCGGTGCAGCGGCAGCCACTGACGGGGAGGGGGAGAAGGAGGAGGAGGAGGAGGAGGAGGAGGAGGAGGAGGAGGCGGAGGACGAGGAGGAGGAGGACGACGAGGAGGAGCAGGAGGAGGAGAAGCAGGAGGAGGAAGAGGAGGAGGAGGAAGAGGAGGAGGAGGAGGGGCCGAGCGAAAACCGCTGCGCGTCGGCGCAGGCCATCCGAGCAGCCCCGGCTGCCCTTGCCCTGCTCGAGCTGCCGGGGCGGCGCTGCCCCGCGCCGCACTGCCCTGGGCGAGGCTGCCCGCGCTGGGCCGCCCGCCCCCCGAGCCCCTGCAGGCGGGGGGCGTTGGCAAACGGGCCGGTGGCTGAGGCTGCGTCTCCCCAAGGGTGCTTCCAAAAAACTGACTTGCAGCGCACGAGTGCGAGGCAAACTCCCCCCGCTCAGAGTTGTGGCGATGTGTCGACGCCTTCGTCGCTCCGATGTAGCACGCACTGGTGCAAGAAAAAGGCTCTGTCGCCCCGTTCTGGCTTGAAGAGGCCCTTTAGCTACCACCCCGTTTACTAACGCCCCGTCTGCCCGGGCTCGGCCGCTGGCCCCTCCGCAAGACGCCGCCCCGCCGGCCCACCGCTCCCTCCCAACCGTGGGTGGGCTGGCAGGGGATTCGCCGCGGCGCGGGCGTTGGAAGCTGATGCGGGCGGCTCGCGCCCCCGCCGCTCGTCGATCCCGGGCCTCGCCGCCATAGCCCGTGGACGGGCGACGAGACCAGAGCGTCCCAGCACGCCGCCTGCAAACCGCATGCCGCCTTCAGCAAGCGCGCCTTCGGGAGGGAATGGGACAGGGCAGGGCCGATCAGTAGACGCCCGGAGCTGCTTCTCTGCATGACAGTAGTAGGGGTCGGCGTGCTGAGTTCCTCCTCGCTCGATGGATGACGGGGTCGACTTGGCGGCGAGCCACGGGGGGGAAGTGAGAAAGCGAATGCCTCCTCAGCAGGCCGCGGGGCTTCTCAGAAGCCCTCCGGCCTCCTAAAAGGTTTCCTGCGACTTCGGGGAAGGCTAAGAACACGATGGGCCTGTTTCCCACCACCACCACCACCATAAATTGGAGGGAGAGGGGGTCCTCCTCCTTCTCCTCCTCCTCCTCCTCCTCCACCTCCTCCTCCTCCACCTCCTCCTCCTTCTCCTCTTCGTCCCTCCTCCTCCTCCTCCTCCTCCTCCTCCTCCTCCTCCTCCTCCTCCTCCTCCTCCTCCTCCTCCTCCTTCTCCTCCTCCCCCTCCCCCCTCCAATTTATGGTGGTGGTGGTGGAAAACAAGCCCATCGGAACACTTCTCAGGAGGCGGGGGGACTTCCGAGCCTTCCGAGAAGGCCTTCTCCTGCTCGCCTTCCTCCCCCCGCACCCGCCGCCGATCGACGTGCGCGGCCGCCTCGGCCTGCGAAACCACGGCCCCGAGCGGGCGAGCGGGGGGGCCTGGGCGCGGCTCGGCTTCCCGCCGCGTGCTGCCTGGGGCGCGCCGCGGAGCACGCGCCGCGCACGGGGAGGGCCGCGCCTGCGTGGCGAGCAGCCCCTCCCCTGGAGGCAACCGCTGCCCCTGATGGCTGGCCCTCGAGCAGCCACGAAGTCGCCCAGGGACGCGCAAAAGGAACACCCACAAGTCACAGGGCCCCCACATCTTCCGACATCTCTTTGGGGTCGCCGTCGTCCCCCCACTTCCCGTGTTTTCTCATACTTTCCGGGGGGTCGACGACTCATTTTGTCCGTGTGTTTTGTCCTCTCCTGAGATCAAGGCCTGCGCGCACGATGCGCCGACGCCTGTTAAATGAGGGGCGGCGCCGCCGATTGAAGATGGAGACGTGGGTCCGATTCAGGTAGGTCTGCGGGGATAGGTGCACCAGTACTTGCCATAGTGAGCGCCTAGATGCAACTATCTGCGCGCTGAATGCAATAGCTGCGCGCGGATGCAAGTGTTAGTCTTTTTGTTCGCGCGCCTCGCCTGTCGCCCGTGCAATACTTCGCGCCCCCCCCCGCAGTAGTTGCGCACTGTTGCACGCCACCCTGCATCATTGCCAGACTATTGCGCCTCTCGCCGCCGACCCATCTGCGCCAGACCCCCTTATCGGGGATTCCCAAAACCGCACAGTGACAGACCGTGCGCTGAGCTCAAGATAGCAGTCGCCCGAGGCATCCTGGGAGAACGGCCCGAGTCCCCACATCGCACGGTGACCTCGGATCCCCGCTGGCTCACCACGCGGCGTGGTCACCACGCTGGTTGGGGCCCCCCGGCACTGCCCCAGCTTATAACCAGGGCGGGCCGCCGCCCAGAGGCTCAGCTCGCGCGAGGCGCGTGCGCGCGGCGGGCGCGCGTTACTCGGCGCCCCGCGTGAACGGTGGCGGGCCGCGGCAGCGGTGTTCGCCGCGCGCGCGCGCCTCTGCATGCTGGCGGTGCTCGTGCGCTCGCCTTGCCGATCCCTTTCTGGTGCGCACAGCTCGCGCGGGGTGGGCGCAACAACCACCGCGCAGATCGCTTCTGCATGGATCGTCGCCAGTTCGCCCGCGGCTATCATCAGGAACTATCTGCGCGGGCGTGGGTGAGAGCAACACCCAGACATGTTGTGTCCAGATTTTTCCATTGCCCCCAAATCGCACAGCGATTTGGGGGGCAGGAAAATCTTCAGGAAGGCCTTTGTGGGCCTCTCGGCAGCTTTGCCTACTGGCTTCTTGACCTCTCACAGCCTGGGCTGGGCGCCTGTGGCGCGGCGGGCACCTCACGGCCGTGCGCTGCAGCGTGGCAGGCGGGTTCTCACGGCCGTGCGCTGCATATTGCAGCAGGTGGTTCTCGTGGCCGTGCGCTGCAGGGCAGCAGGCGGTTCCTCCCTCCTCCCCCCGCTGGCTATTGGATTGCTTGGCGTGCAGGGTGCACTGTGGGCTCCGCTGCCGTGTTGCGGTCTGGCCGGTTGGTTGGATGGCCGGTCGCCGCGGATGCTGGATTGGCTCCGAACGGCGGTGTCGCAGGGGCTGTGCCACGCAAGTCCCCGGCACTGCAGCTATTTCCCGGGGTGCGTGCTGCGGGGCAGGGCCTGCGCTTGGATTGGCTCGAAACCCGCCCTCTTCCGCCCTCGCTGCTTGTGCAATTGCTGGGCGGCGCCCTTGCCAGGCTGGGCCCCTGGTGGATTCCAGTCTGGGCCAGCCTGGCTGCGCCAGGTGATTCATCTCGCCCAATGTTGGCGCGAGGGCGTCGCCCAACTTCGCGGTCGAACGGCCGTGCGTAGGAGATTTTCGATGCACGGTCTCCGGAAGTCCCGACCCCTTCCCAGGGGCCAGTGTCTCACCCTGGACCGTTGTTTGCTGGGCCCGGAGCGCAGCGAGGGCCCTCAGAGGCCAAAAAGCTGGCAGAAACCTCCCGCCCGGATGTGTTTACACGGCGCGAGCACGTCTGGGCACGATCTGCTCTCTCGCGGGCTGCTTTGGCGGGCAGAGCAGCGCACGCCGCGCCCATGGCAGGAGCGTAACCTGCCTGACGAGTGCGCGCCGCGTCGTGGGCGCGAGCAGCGCAGCTGCGCTCTGGCGCGCTGCCCCGCTGCCGACGGGATGAGCGGGCGAAGAGCAGAGGCATCGCCGGAGCGGCAGCGCTGCTCTTGGGGGAGACTTGCGGCGCCGAGACGGAAGGGACAAGGGGGTGGAGGGAGGGGGGAGGGCTTCTTAGAAGGAGGCTGCTTCTTAGAAGGCGCCATTCTTACATCTGTAGGTAAGGCCCGCGCCTTCTAAGAAGCAGGGGTGTTTCTAAGCAGCCCTCCCCCCTCCCCCCACCCCCCTCTGCGCGTGTAGGGGGCCACACGTGAAGCCTACCCCTGCCCCCCACGATTTCTGAGGGGGAGGGTGGGGTTCACTTCGACTGGGAGCTCCCAAACGAAGTGAACCCCACCCTCCTCCTCAGAAATCGTGGGGGGCAGGGGTAGGGTTCGCATGTGGCCCCCTAAGACGACTGCTCGGTGCCCGAGGGAACAGGCCATAAGCACCGAGGAACCAAGACCAGTAACCGGAGGAGCAATACGCAGCAAGGAACCGAGGAACCAATGCCAGGGAGCCAAGGAACCAGGACCAACGAACCCTGGCAACGCCCAAGGAAACAAGACCAAGGAACCCCAAGGAAAACCCTGGCAAGGAAACAAAAATAAGGAACCCCAGGAAAGGCCAGCACTAACTGGGGGACGCACCCACCCATTCTTAAAACACGAACACGACACCCTAGACATAACCTCATTGGGGAAGAAACGACACAACTTATGCAATGTTCCATTTATCCATGCGCGAAATGAGAATGTACAGGTCGTAGTATAGGGGAATAAATGATGTAACGGCACACTTGAGGTCTCTATCAGGGCAAGGGGAGGGCGCGCGTGGTATAGTAAGAGACAAACGTATGTGAGAGAAACAATGATATTATCATAAGTTCGGAGCAGTACTCGGAACGCGTCAAAGGAGGTGTTGTCAACTTGGGGTACAAGACATCCGAGCCCTCAGTGCAGGAGGCATGGATGACGAAGCTAGACACATGTGCGTTGCGTCAGGGCTCGGGAGAACAGCGGGCCTCTGGCCGAGGTGCCGCCCACGCTTCGGTGGCCCGAAGCCCGGCGTGGTCCGTTTCTGCAGTGCTCTGTTCCTGACAGGAGCACGCCCCGTTCTCTGCGCCCGTTCTCTGACTGACTAGCGGTCGAATGTGTGCTTCGATTCTTGAGTCCACGATTGGTGCGAGCTTTCGTGCCCACCACACCCGGGCGTGCTGCTGCAAAGCGCTGCGAATTAGGTGCAAGAACCCAAAAATTGGGCAGGCCAGCAATCTGAGGCACTGGTTCATCTTCTTCAGATCGTCATCCATCCATGAATAAATCGTTAGCAGCCACCCAGTCAACGCAATCGAGACTACGTACACTGTGCACGTTTTGATTTGGCCGTTGAGGTATAATGAAGTCGCAACGTAGATGTGCAAACACACGTCAGCCATATGGCTGACGATGTCCATGCCCAACGAAATAACACTGCTAGTTTCGACTTTCTTCCTACCGATCATAAACCCACGGGCCTCTTCTTTGCGTTCCTCGTCCTCCTCTGGGTCCTGGGCCCACCACAAGCAAATGCAATTTACCATGTTTGAGTCGTAAAGTAAAATCCGCCACCGTGCCCCCTCGCACGTTGAGGCGCATTAGGACACCGAGGGCTTCCTGGTAGAATTGCTGCGTTCCTCCAAATGACCCCCTCCTTTCGAATCGCAAAATGTTGCGTGCTCCGCCCCCCCTTGCCGAAACCACAATCGCCAAGAAAAAACAATGGATTCGCGATCCCGGGTTTCCAAGATGGCCCGAGCCAGAAGCCCCAGGCCTCCAATATGGCTCAAGATATCTCCACGACGGCCCAAGATGGCCCCAACGCGGCCTCAAACAGCATCAAATCGGCCCAAGATGCAAGATAAGGGGATCCCCCAGAGGGTCTGAAGATACACAAGTAATCGCTTTTACAGGAAACGTAATTTCGGCATTATCGTCGTTTCGGCCCAAGAAGTATCCAAGACGGCCCAGAAAGGCCTCCAGAAGGACCAAAGACGGCATTCGTCGGCCCTTCGACGGTCAAAGTCGGCGCCAAGATGGCTCCGCGACGGCCCCCAGACGCACCCCATACGGCCAACAGGACCCCAAGACGGCCCAAGGGAGCACCAAGACGGCCTAAGAGATCCCCAAGACGGCCAAAGACGGCCCGGGAACGACCCCAAGGGACCCCAAAGCATGCCCCGCAGGAGTCCAAGACAGCCTCAAGACGCCCCAGATGTGGTCCATGAGAGCTCCTCAGAAAGTGAAGACGACAAATGTCACGTGTGATGGCCTTCCTCCCCCTCCTCGTGCTCCTCCTCCTCCTCCTCCTCTTCCTCCTCCTCCTCCTCCTAATCGCCATCATCGAGGTGTCACACGCGACGGCCTCCCGTGCCTTCTCGAACATCTACCACCCAAAATGCCGGGCTGGCACGTTGGCGGGACTCGCCGCAGGCAGCTGGATAGTGATGCTGAATGCTAGGAAAACGTCAAGGGAATAATGGTATCTCGCGGCGATTGTGGCAAATGACGCTGAAATCGTATATGTCCACGTCAACACTCCGATAACAACACGGATGCACCGCCGGTGCCCATGGCATCGCCCCAGCAGGTCGTTAATCACGAGGGTGCTCAGCAGGAGAATGAAGCAATGCTTCGAATATATCATGTCACCGCAGTAGCGGCTGCCACCGACTTCCACACTAAGGACCTCCAGCAACGAGCCCCAGAAATCGTTGCGAAAATCTAGCAACTCCGCGTGGGTGCCCATGTCCTCAATGCCTCTCTTGTTCAACCTTTGCTGGCACTGCTCCCACCCGCTGGCGTCCGGAACCACTGTGAGGAGGCCACATGCGGCCCTGCCAGAGAGGAGCGCAGCAAAAACAAGCGCTGCCTTGCAGTAAACTAGCTTGTGCTTGCAGAGGAACATTGCGAGCAAAGCCATCATCGGCAATGGGACCACCGTCACGTCCCAGAACCACTGGGTGACCACCAGCGGCTCTTGCAGCCAGGACGCGGTTAAATCCTGGAGCTTCTGCGGGTAGTCGTGGTGATGAGTGCTGATCCACTCCCGATGCAGCGGGTTGGGCAACTGGGCGCTACCCAGACCCCCGGCAATCCTCGACCCTTCCCTGAGAGTCGGCTGTTCATCCCGAGTCACTCTCTGACGGACAGGGGCCCCAGCGGCTTCCAGGGGAGTTTTGTGAATCGCAAGACGAGGAGGGGGAGGAGGACAAGGGGGAGCAGGACGATGGAAGGAGGACGAGGGGGAAGAGGACGCCCTCCCCCTCCTCCTCCTCCTCGTCCTCCTACTCCTCCTCCTCCGCGTCCTCCTCCCCTCTGTCTATCCTCACTGGTACCATCGCCGGCGCTTCGCGCGCGCGAAGGTTCTAGAGCGGGCGGGGGGGAACCACCCACAGCGGCACCTGGTGATCGCGTGGGCAATCTGTGAGCACTGCCCTTGCGATTGTTGCGCTGGTTCTCCGACGCGGGGCGGATTTTTGCGCGGCGGTCGTACGTTTTGTCAAGAAATTCTGGGGAATTGACGTGGCGCAACCGTCCTGGTGGCGGTTCCCAGCCATTGCGATCAGTGCCTGACTGGGGCAGCGCTCGTGGGCGCAGTGGTGTGGGGGGGGAGGGCGTTTTGCGCGGTTCAACCTGTGCACGTCGCGCGGTCTTTCTGCGAAGCTGCCGTGCCGACCTTCGGATCCATGCGGGGGCGTTCCAGTGGCAGTGGCGGGACGTACTCCGAGCAGTTCTCTTCCACGCACCACAAGTTCTCTGTTCAAAATAAGAACAGACTCCACCACTGTCTCGAGCTCGAGGTTCACGCCCCCCCTGGAATAATTACATTGACATGCACTTCCGCCTTATCGTTCATTCTCCATGTGAAATCGCACCATCTCAGCCAGGCCGGTATCGAACCCACCGTCATCCCTGTCATACCATGCGCGCACTCGTCTATCTTGAAACAGATTCTCCAGTAGTCCTTTGTAGCAGATGCTATAAAGTCCAAACGCGAGCGTGCCGAAGTCATATCAAACGCATTCATTTCGCAAGCGTTTCAACATACACATGTTCAACACCATGGGGCTTCCAATGGACATTTTGCAAGTTCCTACTCGCGCGCTTGATGCTGGTTTTTAGCAATGCCGCACACAACTCACATCCTCATCTCATCACGCGGTGAATGTGCGTTGATCTGGCATGCGCCCAGTGCTTGAAAACGTAGCGAATAGCTCCATGCGGGCCACACGCGCGCGCAGCCACGCGCGCGTGCCGAAACCCTTCTGGAAACAATGGTGTTCGAAACATCTCAAATAATAAGCTCTTCGACAACATGTGAAGCCATATCGTACAACAGGGAACATGCATTTTCTTTTGAAGATCTGCGCGTGCGCACCTTCACATCACCCCCACCAGCGCCATCGCACCACCACCGACATCTTCATCGTCAAGCGCCGTCATGACTACCCTCATCGCCACAAACACTCTCATCACCGTCATATGGAGATCAGCACCGTCTTCGTCGTTACCAACATCGGCGCCGCCATAGGCCTTGCCGTCGTCGTCATCATCGCCACCGCCATCGTTATTATCGTTGCCACCGTTGTAGACGTCATCGTGACATGCACCCGACCGAGACACGATCCGCACGGAAGCGCCCGCGCGCCACCACGGCCTTTGAAGCGTGCTGCGGATGGCCCATCGGTAAGTGCCATCGCGGCCGCATCAGGCGTACCAAGCCACCCAGTCGATCTGCGCACAAGCGTGCGCGCGCCACTGTGGGTAGGTGGGATGCGTGCACGAGCAGTGGGCTCGACAACTTCAAGACGGTCGAAGGTAAATCTCCTTTTCGGAAAAAACAATAAGCCTTACCTCCGTCTCCCCCCGAAAGACTTTCTGGGCATTTGTACTTTAAATAAGGTTCGGCCCCGTCGTTCGTTTTGCAAATGACATCCAATGACATCCAACCGTTCTAAACGACCAGGTTTCGACACCCCCCCGTCTCTGGAAAATAATGCCGTACGCGTGCAGCCGTTCACCTCAAACAACCATTTCGCAATAATCCCTGGCATACTAAAGCTAGCAAATCCACACGCGCGCGCACAAGCCGAGACCATACCGGGCATGATAATTGGGCAATCCCTTCGACACTTGACATCCACAATCATCTTGCACAATTTCTGCCCGCGCGCCATTGCTGCAATCATGGGGGAACCACATGACTGTAGCAACGTGCTGAAACCGCAAGCTGGTTCCAAACTCACTTTCTCATCCCACCACGCGGCGCGCTGCGTTGATCTAGCATGCGCCCACTGCAGAACTCCGCATCACATGGCACCGTGCGGGCCACGTGCGCGCAGCGCCACGCCCGCGTCCAACTCCTTGCAGGAAGCACTGGCCCTCGAAGCGTTTCGGTAAACGGGCGTAAGCCACGCTGACGAAGCCATGTGGCGAGCGCCGTGTCCTGCAGGCTGCGCGGAGCGAGCCACTTTGTGAAAGCCACCCACGGGCGGCCACGGGCGTGCTCCAGGCAAGCCCTTGCTAGGGGAACAAAAAGTGACATAAACATAAAAACTCGGAGGTCCGCGCGAATTTCTCGGATCGGCGCTGGGGCCCCCCGGCGGGGCCTCCGGCGCCGCCCCCGCCGCGCTCCGCGCGCCAGGGCGGGGGGGGGGCCAGGCGCCGATCCGAGAGATCCGCGCGGACCTCCGAGCTTTTGTGTTTATGTCGCCGTTTGTTCCCCTACTTGCCCCACTTTTTTTTGGTCGGCGGCCGCGCGACTACGGTCTGGCGGCGACAAGCGTGTCCGGGACGGCGGTACAGGCGAATTGCACACAAGAGGTGCGGTGCACGTGCGCTGAGCAAGATGCTCCACATTCGCAGTGACGCACCTGGGCGCCGCCCGGTCCAGAAGAACGAGCGCACACCTACTTGCCCCACGCGAAAGACCGGCATTACCCCCCCAGCGCGGGGCGCCCGCGAGGCGCCCACGGGCGGGCGCCAGGCGAAGCCTCGGCATACCCCCCCCCCCCCCTGCGCGCGCGGGACGCCCGCGAGGCGCCCACGAGGCGCTCCACGGGCGGCCACCAGCTGGGCACCGGCCGAAGCCTCAACATACCCATCCAATTACCGTCGGGGCGTTGACCTAAGGAACCCGAAATAAGGAACGAGGCCCCTTCTCCAGAAGTTCAACTTCGACTTCCCATCGAAAATCCAAGTAAAGAAAGGGGGCGAAATGTGAAACGATGAAGGAACACGGAGCCCCTCCCCAACGAAAAGGGTTCCTTATTCAGAGCCCCGACTGTACTCTTAAGTCGGGCCTGTGCCCCCACAGGGGGATTGTCGACGAAGCCTAAAAAATACTCCACAAATGCCCCGAAAAGGTAAAAAAAATACTCCACAGATAGTCCCCAGGCTATGTTTGGACTATGTTTCGATTATCTTTGGGGTCGTTTGTGTTTTGCGACGAAAGCCCCCTGTAGGGGGACACGCCCGACTTGAGAGTACTCATCAACAGCGCAAGATCCTCTAGCGCAAACGCTGCTTTGGAAAAAGGAGATGCTCCCCCTGCCGAAACTGGACTTATCCCCTCGCCTTTCTTGTTTGGGGGTGTTGCTGTTGCCACCTGGCAGATTTTGGTAGCTGAATTCTTTAAGCTAAGAAGCCTCCCGACCCGCCACCCTGCACACCGCGGCCGCCAAACCCCCAAGACCACGGCTGGTCCCGCGGGGATCACTGTGTGGGCCGCCATATACCTCGGCCGCCAGATCCCCATGACCACCCGTGGTCCCGCGGGGATCCCTTTGTGGATCGCCACATACCGCGGACGCCAGATCCCCAGGCCTACTGGGGATCCAGCGGGGATCCCTTCGTGGGCCGTCACATAACATAACAAGACAGATGATAACTGAGCAGACGGGCGCATACCATGAACCGAACATCGCATAGCACGACATCATAGAAATGCGTATAATACTATGGCAAAAGAGCCGCCGTCAGGCATCATTTTAAGGCATGGTGGAATAACATATGTTACGACCAACTACTCTATACCAGAGCAGCCAATACTCGAATCGAACTGCATCAAGCCGCACATACGGTAGCGTAACACAACGGATCAGCAAATCATGAACCATATCACAACATCAAAGAAGATAAACGAAAACACGATACGATACAAACCATAACATCGCTGGGTCAAAATACCGCCCCCTCGCCGGGGTCCCGGGGTGGGGGCTCCCAGCAAGGATTCCGGGGGAGGTCCCGCCTTTAGGGTCGGCGGCACCAGCTGTAAGGAATTCGCAATGAGAAAACCGAAGCGATACGATACAACACATAGTATCGCTTAGCGTAAAGTAAGAATCCAGAAACCAGAACATAGCATTACATAATCGGTGACGTACCGAACGTGACAGGGGTCACGACGTCACGCCGGCCCGTCGAGAACAGAACATATAATCCTGGAGTATACATCCATGGAAGATGAATGACCAAACAGGAAATGAAGACCAATGAATGCAACAACGACCGACTCACTGCGCCCTACAAAACGCAACGTGCGCGCCAACGTAAGGCCGTGACAAAACAAATTTCCACAACATAATTACATGCACCAGTACAGCAGGGACTATACAATAACATCACACAAAATGTGACGTATCGAACGTGACAGACGTCACGACGTCACGCAGGCCCGCAGCACATAACATACAGTCATATCAATAAGTAGGGCAGAGTGCGGAGCATAGCGTAATACAGTATAAGACAACAGTGATTATAGCATCCTATGAATACACAGCAAGCGCTCCACGTTCACCCCTTCACACATCCCACGCTTTACGACGTCACGCTGGCCCGGCATTGCCCGAAACGCATCCAGCAAGGTTGCAGTGGGGATCGCTCGAAACCATACAATTTGTTGTGTTGTCCACATGCAGCGTGCTGCTCTGCCAACTGGGAGATACGAGTAGCACGTGCGCGCGTATCAACATCATTTTAGAATCATCGCGCACCCGCCAACTCCGGCAAATGATCTCATGCGGGACGCACTCGCGCGTCTTCGCCCGACCACGGCGAAATCCTTTCCAAACCATTTGGTTTGTCTTAGCATTTGGACACGGAGCTCTTCATCGTCGCCAGCGACGTCATCATCACCATCATCTCCATCACCACCACCACCGTCATCATCCCCACCGCGGTAATTGGCATAGTCATCGACGTCGCCGTAGACGTCGTCAACGCCACATCATCGCTCGCCCGCTGGAGTCTCGGACCTGCACGAGAAGGGCCACTGCGTCACTACGTCAGATGGGGTTTGCTAACAAGTTGCGGGATGGTGGTTGGCATATTGGCTTGAGCTTTGGAGTCGGCGACGAGCCTAGGGGGTGGTCACTCGCCGTGGTGGCTAGTGGACTACTCATACCATACGGATGGCACCACAAGTTTAGGCACATACTGAATGCAACAACGCACTGGTTGTCGTCCACCAGTGGCGACCGCATACCCATACATACAACTTGTTATAGTCCACTGTGGGTACACGTGTAGAAATTGAGATGCACACTCTATTCAATATATATATATGGTTGTTTATGTCTGCTTGTGATCTGTATATACATAATTGCAAATTAAAAACGCATGCTTTAATGCACCTGCGAAGAAAAGGCCAATCGACTCTTCGATGTGCCGAGGAGGTCTGGGCGCGCCGCCGCCTGGCTGCCGGCATCACCCAGCAGCTCCTCCAACACCCGCATGTAGCGCACGTAGTACACGGTGGCGAGGCGGCTGGAGACCGACTCCTCTCGGAGGCGCCCCCGCCGCCGCCCACGCCCCGGCTGGCCCCGCGCCCCGCCTCGCCCCCCCCCCGCGCGGGGGCCGAGGAGGGCGGGGGGGGGGAAGGATGAGCGACGGGGAAGGGGGGAGGGACGGGAGGGAAGGAGGGGTGAGGATGAGGACGAGGGAGGGAAGGGAAGGGAACGATGAAGGATGAGGGAGGGAAGGGGAGGAGGGAAGGGAACGATGAAGGAGGGAAGGGGAGGATGAACGACGGGGAAGGGGGAGGGGACGGAGGGAAGGAGGACGAAGGGGGAGGGATAGGAGGATGCAAAAGAATGCGCGCATCCGCATGACATGACGTTCGAGTCTGATTCAAAAGTGCTGCGCGGCAGATGCTGCTTTTGCAGCAGTTGCGGGTATGTGGTGGATTTCCGCCACACACGCGCCGCACTGCATCTACACGACTTCGACGTGCACAATCCCTTCCCGTCTAACCCGGGTAAGTCTTCAGTTTTGTTCCCCTCCAATGAGAAGGGTTCGCATGGCACCGCCGCGCCCAGTTCAGCATACCCCATGCACGCTTCGCGGCCCCATAGGGAGCTCCACAGGAGGCTCCAATGGGAGGGTTCGCATGGCACTGCCGCGCCCAATTCGGCGCACCCCATGCACGCTTCCGCGGCCCCATGGGGAGCTCCACCGAAGGCTCCAATGGGAACGTTCGCATGGCGCCACCGCGCCCGATTCGGCACGCCCCTCGCACGGTTCGTGCCCGTAGGGAACTAGTCGGCACACCCCTCACACGGTTCGTGGCCTCATAGGGAGCTCCACCGAAGGCTCCAATGGGAGGTTTGGCATGACACCACCGCGCCCAATTCGGCACACTCGTCAGCGGCTCGTGGCCTCATAAAGGGGGGCTCCACCCAAGGTTCCAGTGGGGTTCGCATGGCACCACCGCGTCCAATTCTCGCACACCGCGCGCACGGCTCGTGGCCCCATAGGCAGCTCCACCGAAGGTTCCAGCGGATGGGTTCGCATGGCACCACCGCGCTCAGTTCGGCACACCCCTCACCCGGTTCGTGGCGCGAAGGCTCCAGTGGGGGGGGTTCGCATGGCGCCAGCGCGCCCACTTCGGCACGCCCCTCGCACGCCTCGTGGCCCCATAGAGAGCTCCACCGAAGGCTCCACTGGGAGGGCTCGCGTGACACCGCCGCGCCCACTTCGGCGCACCCCTCGCACGGTTCGTGGCCCCATAGGGAGCTCCACCGAAGGCTCGAGTCGGAGGGCTCGCATGGCACCACCGCGCTCGATTTTCGCACACCCCTCGCGCGCGTCGCGGCCCCATAGCGGGTTCCACCAAAGGCTCCAGTGGGAGGGTTCGCATGGCACCACCGCGCCCAATTCGGGGCACCCCTCACAGGGTTCGTGGCCCCACAAGGAACCCCCCGGAAGCGGCGCCAACAATGCAGCTGCATGGGTTGGGTCCCTTTCGTCAGGCGAATCCCACCAGCCCTCTGGGCGTAGGTGGTTCAGGGAGGTTCCTCTTCCACCTCCCTTCTTCCCCGTCGGGGAAAGGTTTACCCTTTCCCCCTACCCCCTCCCCTGGACATGGACGGGGCCGGTCGCGAGCGGTCAGGGCGTCCAGAACGGCCTCGGCGAGGAAGCCAAAATCACTGCCCCCCCCTTCTTTGATCAATGTCCTCCACAATGCCCCCAAGAAGCGCCAAGGAGACCCCAACAGGCCCCATAATGGCCCCAATACGGTTCCAAGCGGCCCCCAAGACGCCCCAGGAGGCCCCCAGGAGAACCCCCAAGCGGCCCCAAAAGGCCCCCACGAGGCACCCAAGACGCCCAAGACCGCCCAAAAAAACCCAAGGCGTCCCAAGAGGCCTCCAGGAAGCGCCCAAGAGATACCCCAAGAGGCTCCGAAAAGGCATCCAAGAGACCTCTGGCCCTTTTGCTTGCCTTCCTCCTCCTGCTCCTCCTTCCTCCTCCTGCCCCTTCTCCTCCTCCTCCTCCTCTTCCTCCTCCTCCTCCTCCTCCTCCTCCTCCTTCCTCCTCCTCCTCCTCCTCCTCCTCCTCCTCCTCCTCCTCCTCATCCTCCTCCTATCAACATCGTCATCAGCAGACTCATCTTCATCAGCAGCAGCAGTATCATCATCATCATCATCATCGTCATCATCATCACCACCATTACCATCATCATCAGCATCATCGTCGTCATCAGCGGATTATTATTCCTTCCCTCCACTCCCTCATCCATCCATCAAGCCTCCTCCTTATCCCCCTCCCTCCTTCGCACGGTTCGGCCGTCCACCTCTTTGCTCCCGCACCTTCCTGATGACCTCAACTCGCATGGACATCGTTTATGGATGGGCTGGTGGGGATACTTTTTAAAAACCGCAAGCGCACTGGAAGACGCCGGGCGCCGTCAGAACGAAGCGTCAATGCAACGGCCTAAATTACGCACCGGAGCGCTCAGGAGTGGGCTACGCTGCGGCTCAGGAAACGCTGAGGACCAGGCAGGGCCACAGGTCGACGTGCAGCGCCAAAATGGCGAAGAGCAAGTAGCCGACGAACTCGAAGACCGCCGTGACGCAGCCGAAGAAGGCGACGAACAGGGCGTGCAGGCGCTCAACGGAGAAGCTCCAGATCGCCAAGAGCAGGGGCGTGGAAGCGGCGGAAGCGCCACCACGGCGTGGGAACAGGAGAAGCCATGGCCAGGGCGGCACAGGAGCAGCAGAGGCGGGGAACCAGCGGAAGAAGGTCGCAGTCCTGCGCTAGAGGCAGCGCGAGCCAAAGCCAGGGATAATAGCCGACCTTGGGGTGGCGACGTGGGGGAGGACCGGGCGTCCGCCAACGCCGTGCGGGCAGAGGCAGCGGACTCCAGGCGAGTCGCAGGCCCGGGAGCCCAGGGGCGCCCCGAACTGGAAGGGCAAGCAGGCGAGCCTCAGGGGCGCCCATCGTGGCCGCGAGGAGAGGACGGCCTACAGCCCAGCGTCCAGGGTCGGGGGGGCTTCCCAGCGACCTCATGCGCAAGGCTGGGGCGGCGGGAAGGACAGTGACAGGCCGACGCAGTGCGGCAGTGCCCCACCTGCGGAGCCTACCCACAGAAAGCGAAGGGGCTCACCCCTGACGGGCCGAGGGGGCTTCCCTGCGGCCTCGCACGCAAGAGCGGTGCCGCCGAGCACCGACCGCGACGACCCCGACCAGCGGACAACGCGGAGCGTCTAGAACCTGTTCTTCCCAGCAGTCCTGTGGTGCTGGGTCCTCGTTTTGAAGAGACAGCGCCCCGCGTTCTCCTCCCGTCTCCCCCCTCCTCCCATCCCTGCCCCTGCCCTCCGCACGTCCACCATTCCGGCGCACCCCTCACGCGTGTCGTGGCCCCATAGGGGGATCCACCGAAGGCCCCAATGGGAGGGTTCGCATGGCACCGCCGCGCCCAATTCGGCACACCTCTCTCACAGTTCGTGGTCCCATCGGGAGCTCCACCGAAGGCTCCAATGGATGGGTTCGCATGACACCGCCGCATCCAATCTGACTTACCCCTCGCGCGGTTCGTGGCCCCGCAGGGAGCTCCACCGAAGGCTCCAGTGGGGGGGGGTGCATGGAACCACCGCGCCCATTTCGGCGCATCTCTCGCGCGTCTCGTGGCCCCATAAGGAGCTCCACTGAAGGCTCCAGTGGAAGGGTTCGCATGGCACCGCCGCGCCCAATTCGGCGCACCCCTAACACAGTTCGTGGCCCCATCGGGAGCTCCACCGAAGGCTTCAATGGGAGGGCTCGCATGGCAATGGCACCACCGCGCCCAATTCGGCACACACCTCGCGCGGTTCGTGGCTCCATAGGGAGCTCCGCCGAAGGCCCCAATGGGAGGGTTCGCATGACGCGCCGCACCTAAGTCGGCGCGCCCCTCACGCGGTTCGTGGCCCCACAGGGAGGTTCGCCGAGGGCTCCAGTGGGGGGTTCGCATGGCGTCACCGCACCCAATTCGGCACACCCCTCACACGGTTCGTGGCCCCATCGGGAGCGCCACCGAAGTCTCCAGTGGGAAGGTTCGCATGGCACCGCCGCACCCAAGTCGGCACACCCCGCACACGGTTCGTTCGTGGCCCCATAGGGAGCTCCGCCGAAGGCCCCAGTGGGAGTGTTCGCATGACGCCACCACGCCCAACTCGGTACATCCATCACACGTTTCGCGGCCCCATAGGGAGCTCCACCGAAGGCTCCAGTGGATGGGTTCGCATGGCACCACCGCGCTCACTTCGACGCACCCCTCACACGCGCTCACTTCGACGCACCCCCTCACACGCCTCGTGGCGCCATAGGGAGCTCCACCGAAAGCTCCAGCGGAGGGTTCGCATGGCGTCACCGCACCCATTTCGGCACACCCCTCACAGGGTTCGTGGCCCCATAGGGAGCTCCACCGAAGGCTCCAGTGGGAGGGTTCGCATGGCACCACCGCGCCCACTTCGGCACACCCCTCACACGGTTCGTGGCCCCATAAGGAGCTCCACCGAATGCGGCACCCACAACTCGGCACTCGCAGCTGGATATAATTGGGCCATTCGCCAGGCGAAGTTTACAACCATCTGGCGGTGTTGGGCATTCGCTTTCAAGAGACAACGCCCCGCGTTCCTCCTCCTCCTCCTCCTCCTCCTCCTCCTTCCGCTGCTTCCGCCCATCCTCCCATCCCTGCCTCTGCCCTCCGCACCAGTCAAAAATTTCAGCTCACTCATCACGCGCTTCGTGGCCCCATAGGGAGCTCCACCGAAGGCCCCAGTGGCTGCCCTTGCATAACGCCACCGCACACATTTCAGCACACCCCTCCCACGCTTCCTGGCCTCAGGAGCGCCATCGAGGGCCCCAATGGCTGCGCTCGTATGGCACCGCCGCGTTCGTGGCCCAGTAGGGAGCTCCACCGAGGGCCCCAGTGGGTGCGCCCGCATGGCACCACCGCGCCCATGTCGGTACACCCCTCGCAAGTTTCGTGGCCCCACAGGGGACTCCACCGAGGGCCCCAGTGGCTGCCCTCGCGTAACGCCACCGCGCACATTTCAGCACACCTCTCACTCGCTTCCTGGCCTCATAGGGAGCTCCATCGAGGGCCCCAATGGCTGCGCTCGTATGGCATCACCGCGCCAAATTCGGTACACACATGTTGGTTCCCCATAGGGAGCTTCACCGAGGGCCCCAGTGCCTGCGCTCGCAGGGCATCAGGGCGCTCGAGTGGCTGCGCTCGCACGGCATCAGGGCGCATGGCCATCAGAGCGCATGGCATCAGGGCGCCCCTTGCACGCTTCGTGGCCTCATAGTGAGCTCCACCGAAAGCCCCAATGGCCGCGCTCGCATGGCACCGCCGCACCCAAGTCGGCACACCCCTCACTGGCATCGTCACGCCCATGTTGGCACACTCCTCACACGGTTCGTGGCCCCATAGGGAGCTCTACCGAAAGCTCCGCGCCAATTTCGGCACCCCACACGTTTCGTGGCCACACAGGGAGATCCACCGATGGCCCCAGTGGCTGCGCGCACCACCGCGCCCATGTCGGCACACCCCTCACACGGCTCGTGGCCCCATAGGGAGCTCCACCGAAAACCCCAATGATTGCGTTCGCATGGCGCTACCGAGCCCACGTCGACACTCCCCTCACACGCTTCGTGGCCCCATAGGGAGATCCACCGAGGGCCCCAGTGGCTGCGCTCGCATAGCACCACCGTGCCCATGTCGGCACACCACTCACACGCGTTCGCATGCGCCCACCGCGCCCATTCCGGTACATCCCTCATACTTTGCGTGGCCTCATCGGGAACTCCATCGAAAACGATACTCACAACTGCGTTACCAACAACTGGGTATGGCTGGGTCTTTCGCCAGACTGATTTTTCATTCCGCGGGCCCCCCGAGGGCTCGGACACCCTCCCCGTGGAACGGCTTGGCACTCCGTGCCGCTTCTTGACGGCACCCGGGGGCCCTGGAACCTCGATCCTTGAGTTCTCGGAGGTCTGGGCATCGCGAGAGGGAAGCCAAGAGGTCCAGGGCCCCCTAAGTCCGGACATGCTAGACCAGGACATCCAAGATACCTCGGCTACGATTTGTCCCCACGGCGGCACGAACAACAGAACGACGGCACGGACAAACAACTGCACTGCCACATTCCTGGAATAAACCCGGATAGAGGCCATGAAAGCCTGCACAGCCTCCACTAGAACCGGTCAAAGACCCGAATCCTGCAGTGCAGCAACAGACAATGCACTGGACGACCAAGTGCAGCAACACAACATTTTCACTGGAAGACCTAAATCTGACTTTGGCAGGGAAGGATGTCGTTTTTCCGGCTTGCCAATGGCTAGTCCTTCTCCTGGTCTTGGGGTGGCTGGGAAGTGCTAACACCGCCCATCCCCGGACCTCTTCCAAGGGCGCCTTCTGACCAGCACTTCGAAGCGAATCCGGCCGTGGCGACGAGGGCCTTCCGGGAGGCCCAAGGAGGCGAGCACGAGGGCGGGCTGGCGGTATGGATACCTTCGCCCCCTCTGATGCTCCTGGTGGTGGCGGCCGTCCTCCGAGACAGGATGGTCAGTCGAGACAGCGACGGCTCTCCCGCCCAGCCCAAATCCGGTCGAAATCGGCCCCTCGCCCAAAGGCTCATCCTGACCCGTGCGTCGACGCGGATCCGGCTGTGGCGACGAGAAGCCTCCAGGAGGCCCAGAGAGGACGAGAACGAGAGAATGGCAGCGGCATGGTCCTCGGTGCATGTTTCATCCTCGCTCCCCTGCTTCGGATGATGATGATGCTGATGCTGCTGCTGATGATGATGACGATGATGATGATGATGATGAAGATGATGATGGTGATGATGAGGATGACGGTGATGACGATGATGCTGAAGATGCTGATGATAATGACGATGATGCTGCTGATGCTCCTGATGCTGCTGCTGATGATGATGATGAAGGGGGGAAGAGGAGGGTAAGGACGAGCATATCTGCCAGCCCAGAGCTTTGTGGTGGGCCCCCCCCCCGCAGCTGTCGAGACCCTCACTCCTCGCGCCTCGCCGGCGGCGAGAGCAGCGCCCGACGGGGCTGCCCCTGCGGGGCGCCGCGCCCGAGGCGGGTGAGGGCCCTGGGCAGGGCCTCGGCAGGCCCAGGCCTGCTCCACGCGTGCCGCGACAGGGAGCGGGCCTCACGCGAGATGACACCGGTTTCCTCCTCCTCCTCCTCCTCCTCCTCCTCCTCCTCCTCCTCCTCCTCCTCCTCCTCGACCCTCTGCGGTGGACCATCTGCTGAAGGGGCCCTGGGACACACAAGTAAATACACACGGATGTAAGGGATTCTCCATATTTTCCCATATCTTCTGGGTTTCTGTCTTCCCCCCCACTGCCCATATTTTCCCACATTTCCGGGGGAGTGCACGATTCATTGTGTCTGTGTTTTTCCCATCCTGACTCACGCGAGATGACACCAGCGACCCTACGCGGTGGCCTGCGCGGGCCGCGGGCCCGGCGCGCTGCGTTGGCAACGAGGGCGCTCCGCCGCGACCTCGCGCGAGCAGCTTGCGCGCCAACATCGGTGAAGACGGCCCCTCTTTTGTTTTGCGTCGCTTAGGATGATCGCCTCAGAGGGTCTCTCATACCCCCAAAAGATGGGAACATATGTTTGCGCGGGATTCTTGACGGACGGGGACCCCAACAACACTGGAACGACAAGTATTCCCCCGCGACGGCCACCGCTGATTATCGGGGGGGGGGGAGGACCCCTGATGATGATGATGATGATGACGATGATGATCATTTTTCTACCCCCGCGGGACCGATGGCGGCGGGCGATGACAACGTGAGGAAGTCCGTAAAAGAAGGAAAATACAAGTCCTGTGTGCGAGCCCCAGAGGAGGGGAGGGAGAAGGACCACGATCAGCAATTAAGCCAGTGACCACCATCTCGAATCTTTTCATGGCCCCTGGGCCATGGGACGCAAGAGGCACACGGCACAAAAGAGAGGGTGCCTTGCTGTACTTCAACGGAAACCTGCGGTTGGCAGGGAATACGGCAGAGGCAAACGGAGAGCATGGCAATGTACACCCTGGCTTGCACAGGATGGACAGAGATCCATGCCGTCCACAAAAGACGGAAGGACCCTTGCTAATCCACAGACGAATTCATCGAGAAGCAGACAGAGAGAGGCTTTCGGGGAACCTTAGGCCGAGGCCGCACCCCGCCCGCAAGCCGGCGGCGCGCGGCAGCAGCGGTGCAGAGAGGGGCAGAGAGGCAGACAGACAAAAGAGAGAGCAAACACAGAGACAGTCGATCGTCTAGCATTCTCGATGTGTCTGCAAGGTGATGTTGCAGCATCTTCCGGATATCCACAGCACTCGCCGTGCCTATCCATGAGGCCAGGCTTCCTGAATCTTAGGGTGCCTTCTACAGTGAAGACGAATACGGGCTTTAAAGAAGTCTTTTGCGGGGAGACCAGGGCCCTCCCTCACACACGCTTGGACAAATATTAACCATCAAGGAGTGAGACACACAGCAGTTTCAAACTCGGGAACGGAGGAGGGGCAATAAGAGCTGAACAACGGAACCAGGACTCTTCGCTAAAAAAGGAAGGAGGCAGGGAACGAGGTCTAAACTCAGTCGGCGGAATTCAGGACATACCGCATAGTGTTCCATAGAGTCAGAAGCTCCAGGGCCCCCGCAGTTCCAACAACATCGTTCAGGTCCACGGTGGAAACGGGCACTGGTGCATACACCTCGGGAAAGTACTCGTAGAAAAGACCCAGATACAGAGAACTATCTTTGGTAACCTAGCGGGTCGCCTGAATAACACCTGAGATCTGGGCAACAGAAACACCTGGGAGCCAACAGCGCACCCGCACCGACAGGCAACTTTTGGGGGGAACAGGGGCGGGGCGGGCACGCAGACGGTTGAACAGTTTCCTTTGGAATCCCTTAGCCTGCAGGAAATCCGAACAGGGATCAATATTATCTGCCTAGGTCGAGACCAATGTGCGAGCGAACGAGTGGTGCCACCACGGATACCTGATCCGCCCAGGGTGGAAGTCGTCTTGTGCAACTAGATCCTCGAGCAGCAGCTTCATTCTGGAGAAGGCATTAGAGTGATGAGCCAGTCGCACCTGTGTAGCAATACTCACTAGTTCCAGATCATGCTGCTGATGATGATGATGATGATGATGATGATGATGATGATGATGATGATGATGATGATGATGATGATGATGATGATGATGATGATGATGATGATGATGATGATGAGATGATGAGATGATAAAGAGGGGGAAGAGGAGGGTAAGGAAGTGTATATCTGCCAGCCCAGAGAGCTTTGTGGGGGCCCCTCCGCAGCTGTCGAGACCCTCCGAGGTCAGCGGCGTCGGGGCCTTGCCCTCCTCTGAGCAAAGGCCGCCCGGCGCTCCAAGAACGAACGCTGCGAGGAAAGCCTCGGGCAAAAAACGGCGGCCCGACCGCTGGTAGCGGTAGGGCCGCTGCCAGAAAAGAACCGGAGAACTAGGGCATGGTAGCGGCATCGGTGCCTTTTTGTCCCTCCCCTCGGCGATGCCCCCCCCCCCCCCGGCGCTCCGACAGCATGCTGGCTGCGACCAGGGCGGCCGGCAGCAGCAGCTGCGCCAGCCTCCACGATGCGCCCCGGAAAGTGCGGCGCAGTGCGCGGGCCTCGCTCACGAAGTTGGCCAGGCCAGCGAGGGCGTCGTCCTCGTCTGGCGCAGGGGGGGAGGATCCGAGGGGAACCACCTGACCTTCGGAGCTCGGAATTTTCGAAGGTGTTCGTCGGTTCTCGGCGGTCTTCCAGCCTCGGGGGGCTCTCCAGCAACTGCGCCTCGCCGAAGGGCGTCCGGGGCTGCCCGGATCGTCCGGAGCGGCGGCCAGAGACCCGAGCTATGGCCCGGAAGCTGGACGACGAGGATCACTTGGGGGGACTGGCTCGAGGAGGAATATTTGACCCGGAATCGGCGACACATCGCTGATAGATCAGCGATAGGCACCCGACACCGAAACCCAACGCTCCCAGGCGGGGAAGGGATCCCAGGCCCCAATTGGCGAAGAATTGGCGATTGGTGGTCGCCGCTGTCCACCCCGAGCCTATCCCCCCTATCATTGCCCTGAGGATCGAGGCCTCTGGGGGGGGCCGAGGCCCGCAGTTGGGAGGCCTTTTGGGATGGGGGACTTTGGGAGGCATCTGGGGGCCTCCAAAATTTTCTCTTGGCTGGTGTGTTGAGGGAGGAACGGGGGTCGAGGCTTCGAAGTTTCGAAGTCTGATTTGTGCTTTTCAAGCTTGAGAACGGTCTTGGCCGTCGGGTAGACTTGGAAGCATCTGCTCTTGAGCCTCTGAAGGCGTCCAGGCGACGAGCAGCCGACGCAACCGAGCGAGCGAGGACTCCGCAGTCGTCAGGCCCTGTCGTCCGCAGTCGCCAGGTCCTGTCGCCATGCAGACGCAGCGCGAGGTCCTGTCCACAGCGGCCTCGTCCACCTTGACCACTGTCCAATGCCTCAGCTACGACCTGACCTGTTCAAGTCGACGACGTTGGGACTCTGGAGGCCTCTAGGGACCCCGCAGACCTGTACAAAAGACCTCCGTTCAAGGAGGAATGGCGGCCATGCCAGATGCGGTTTCCCTTGCGCCGACGTCCCCGAGAGTGATCGAGGTTCGAGAGGGGACCCAGGGCGAGGAGGCAGCTGAAGCAGCCTATCGCGAGACAGCGAAATGGAAGACGAGGCAGCGGCCAGCAAGAAGGCGGGCGGAGGACAGGCAATATTTTCCCAGTCAGCGCACACTTACCCCCAGAGCCGCGGCGAAACGAGCCTCGAAGCTGCGAGGGGTCGACATTTGACTGTGCCCTTTGGGTCTCCAGACGCCTCTGGACGCTGCCCAGGGCACCCAGAGACCTCCGGCGACGTGCGGGGACGGAGGAAGGCGATGGAGGAGGCTGACGAGGACCTGGACCTGCGACGTCGCGCTTTTCAGCGCCGACGCTTCTTCTCGATGTCGGCCTCTGGAGGCACGGTGTCTGGGGGCCATCCCTCCCGCGGCAGAGGACGAGCGGCCCGGGGGCCACGTGGTGACGTCAATCACGGCGTCGGGGGTCTGGGGACGGTCGAGGGTGAAGAGGAGGAAGCCGGATCGCTAAACCCGAAGACCGTCCCTGCCTGTCCTTGGCCGCGATGGCCTTCTGCATCCCCAGCTCGTAGTACCCCTCACACCCGCAGCCGCCTGGCTCCTGCGCATCTTTGGGCGACTTCGGCTCGACAGGATCCTTGGCTACGCCCGCGTCTGGGAGCTCCTCGCAAGCGTCCTCGCTCCCAGCGGGGGGGGGGACGGGAGAAGGAGGGAAGGAGTGCAGAGGGATCAGAAGGGGCGAAAGAGGGGGCCTGATTCGTTGGCCTGGCATCGGCGGCACGTCGCCGATGGGTCGGCGATGCGCCCTGCGACGGCGAAGCCGCGCGCAGCGGAAGGGCGGTGGTGTTCCCTCTCCGCCGCCCCTGCCCCCGGAGCCGATGCCTCCGTCTCGCTGCCTCCGGGAGGAGGCGGAGGAGGTCCTCGCGGCCGGTCACGAAGATGGCGTGTCCCATTCGCTCGTCGCCGACTCGCATCTGGACGTTGCAGCCGTAGCTGGGCCCGTCCACCTCCCGGTCGCCGGCTGGCAGCAGGAGGGTGGGGGGGAGGGGGGAATTGCGGGGGGGCGGGCGCGAGGATGTTTTTGACCTGATCAAACACGCACACACACACACACACACAAACACACACACACAACACACACACACACAACACACACACAGCACACACACACACACAACACACACACGCACACGCACACGCACGCACACACGCACACGCACACGCACACGCACACGCACACGCACACACGCGGACACACTCACACAGACACACACACACAGACACAGACGCAGACACAGACACAGACACACATACAGACACACGCAGACATGCACAGACAGACATACAGACAAACAAACAAACAGACACACACACAAGCACACACACACACACACACGCACGCACGCAGCTCGCAGACACACACACACACACACACACACAACACACACAACGCACTCTACACAACAACACACAAACACACGCACGCACGCACGCACGCACGCACGCACGCGCGCCACGCACGCACGCCACCACGCAACTCACGCACTCACACACACACACACACACACACCACAAACACAACCACCACACGCACGCAAGCACGCAAGCACGCAAGCACGCGCACACAAAAACTCCGCACGCACGCACGCACGCACTTGCGCACGCACGCACGCACGCACACAACCCAACACACACCCACACACACAACCCCCACACACACGACACACACACACAACACACAACACACAACACACCACACACAACACGCCCACCACACACACACACACACAATCACACACACAACAACACACACACCACACCCAGCCACACAACACACAACACACACCAATTCACCACCCACACACCACAGACACCCACACACACACACACAACACACACACAGCACACAACACACACAACACACAACACACACACACACACACGACACACAAAACACACACACACACAACACGCCCAACACACAATACACACCACACAACACACACAATACACACAACACACAACACACACACACATCAATACACACTACACACAACACACACAACACACATACACAACACACACACACAACACACACACACTCAACACACAACACACACACACACAACACATAACACACATTACACACACACACACACACACACGCGCGCATTACACACAACAAACACAACACACAACACACACAACACACACACACACACAACACACACACACACACGACACACACAACACACACACACACTCACACACACACACACACACACACACACACACACACACACACACACGCACTCAGCACCCCAGAGGCGGGATGAGAAAGGAGACTGGGCTTGGGATGGGGGAAGGTGAGGGTGGGATTGGGGCATGGGCGGCGCGATCATCGGAGCACCGACTGAACCCAAGCCTGGAAGCCCGAAACGCTGTCGCGCTCTGCCGTGGTTGGCCCAGAGGCGACAGAGCGGCTGAAGCGGCAGGCCCCCTTGCACCTGTCGGTCCCACGAGCCTTGCGGCGAGGGGGGCGGGCGCCAGCCCGTGATGAGCAGGTCTGTGGTTCGGTGCTACAGCTCGCCAGGTACACCTTGCTTCTGCAAGCCGTCTCTGAATGGTATGAGCGGGCGGGCACACCAAAGAGGTGCCTCGAACCCGCTCGCAGCTCAGTCCAGAAGCCTCCGTTAGCAGGCGTTGCACTCCCATTGGAAGAGAGAGCGGCGCACGCCTCGCCAAGGCTTCACGCTAGTACAGGTGACTGCATCGGCGCAGGGGCGAGCAGCGATACTCGGCCGTGGGGTTGGCAGGGGTGGTGAGCAGGGGGGAGGGTCAGGAGGAAAAGGAACGGGAAGATGACGGTGCGGCCGCGCTTCGGCCCGTGGCCTTCCAGTTGTCGGCCAGCATGCAAATGTCCCACGGCCCGAGCTTCTTCTTGACCTTTTCCAGATTCCTCTTCACCTGGGGTTCCCAGCTGCGCTCCCCTCTCCTTCTGCTTCTCCTCCTCCGTTTCTTTCACCATTGCCCTCTCTTCTTTTCCTCCGTCTCCTGATCCTCTTCCGCCGACTGCTCGTGATGTTTTTCCTCCTCCTCCTCCTTCTCCTCCTCCTCATCTTTCTCCTCCTCCTTCTCCTCCTACTCTTCCTCCCCCTCCTCATCCTCCTCCTCCTCCTCCTCCTCCTCCTCCTCCTCCTCCTCCTCCTCCTCCTCCTCTTGACGAGCTGAAGCGCTGAATACGATGCAGCCCGTCGAGCGTTGCCCTCCCCCCCAGGGCCCGTTGGCCTTGGGGTTTGATCTAACGACTGAAACAGGTGGGTTCCCCCACTGGCTGGGTGAACAATAACAACAAAAAAAGACGAGAACCTATGGAACGCAAGAACTCATAACCTCGATGGGGGGTAAACAGTAGGGGCGCCGAGGTAGCGTGGCGGCATGCGGCGTGGCGGTGCGAGGCAGCGCTGAACGGGCATGTGGCGTTGGCTGCGGCAACGGAGCGTGGCCAGGCCACACCCGCAAAAACGGAAGGCACCAGGGGCTCCCGCCCTACCCAGGAGAAGCCCCGAACGACGGCTCAGGCCCGCCGCGCCCGCCAAGGCAGGCGCAGGTGTCCCGAGGCAGGGACTGGAGGCCGCCGTGGGGTTTACACCGGGTGTGGGCGAGGTTTGTGCCTTCCGCGGCGGCGGCCGTGTAGCGGCGGCGGTGGTGCCAGCAGCCGCCCTGGCCATCGCCATGGCAGCCAGCGGCTCTTCCCTTCCATCCCTCTCAAATCCCTTCCACTACCTGGTAGAAGTCTGCCAGGTGGGAAAGAGGTGGCGGGCGGCGTGTGGCAGTGCAGCGGCCGGCTACATACGCCAAAGTGGAAGGCGCACAGGCGTCTCCCCATGCCGGTAGGAATCCCCAATAGGTGTCCACCATTCTTACGACGGGGGCCCTCGCGCGCAAGCAGGCGTAGGAGTCCCCAGCGGAGGACTGATGGCCGCCTGTGGGGCTTCGTGTCGGCACGGGGGAGGTCTGCGCCTTCCGTGGCGGCGGCCGCGGGAGAAAGCGTGGCGTTGGCGGTGGGGCATCGCTGGCAATGGGAGGCGGTGGCTTGCGGCGCTGCTGACAGCGGCCGCCCTGGCCATCGCCTGGGCAGCCAGCGCCGGCGCGCGGCTCCGCGCCCCGCGCTAGCCCCCCCACCACACCTGTGACCCCCAGAGGTAGGAGCTGAGGACGCTGGGTGGTTAAAGCACGCTGAATTGGTTAGCGAGATATCGGGAGAGGTAGCCACCGTTCCCTCGGCGTTGTGGACTGCGCCGCTGGTTTTTCCAAGGTAGCCGTCGGCGTGTCTGCAACTGTTTCAGTTGCTGCTGAGCCACACTGGCGCAGGTTGAGGAGGTCGCAAACGAGAAGAATGGAACGGAGGGACACACGGCGTACGACGAAGGAGAAAGGGAGAAGGAGAACGTGCTGCCAACAGCAACGCGCCCACGGCTCCTTTCAGCTGGCATCGACCTGTCGTCTTGTTTTGCTTGACGATCCGTTTCGGCGGAAGAAAGAGGAGGGAGGGAAGGAGGGACACCCACGGCGGACGACGGAAAGGAGGGAGAAGGGGGAACGCATGCTAGAAGCGGCAAGCCCGCAACTCTGGCTGGCATCAGGGCGCCGCTGTTCCAGAGCGCGCCCGCGACAGCTCCGAAAACGTAGCTGGCAGAACAGACGAGAGAGCTGGCAGAATAACATCGTGAATGCTCACCAAAAATGCGGTCGTCCTGAGATGCAGAAGGGCGAACGAAGCTAGCGGGAAAACGGGACATGCGTATGCATGGTGATCCTTTGCACGCCAATGGTTCACGTCCAAATCTGCGCTGCGTCGTGCAGCTGGGTTGCCCGGAGGTGGCCGCGCACGGTTTCCCGAAGAGCATGCTTCATGGCTTCCGCCGCAGCGGGGCCACGGCGGAGGCGGCCGCGCCTGCACCGGCAACGGGCCCTGTAAGCCGCAGCCGCCCGCAAGGCCGCGAGGGCCGCCGCGTCGGCGTCGGCCTGCGCGCCGAATTCAACCCCGAGGAAGTTCGCCGGGCGAGCCGCCGGTGCCCCCAGCGGCGGCAGCCCGAGCTCCGCCGCGGCCACCGCGCTCGCGCAGCGGCAGCCCGCGCAGTGTCCCAGCGAGTCGGCCGCGTCCGTGGCGCATAAAAGTATGCAACCGGGAAGGCCCTCGCGGCCCCGAGTACGACGGGCTGCCGGTCACCCGTTCCACATGGCTCGCCAGACCGCCGCCCACACGCGAGGCGGAACCCGCTTGCCCAGGGTTCGGAGGTAGCGGGTGCCGTGCGCAGTGCGCGCCTGAGGGGGCCGCTCCACCCGCCAACGTCCCAGCTCGTGCCAGACGCGGGGTTCCAGATCCCCTTGCCGCGCCAACCGTACCCACGCTGCGGCATGGCGTTGGAACTGTCGCCGGACGCGTCGATCCTCAAGCCGCGTGAGCGGTCTCGCGATGATGCCTCTCAGGATGCGTGCTTCCGCTCATGGCGCTGGCATTGTGGAAGCGTGGGGAAGATGTCCTGGTGGTTGTTGTGCGCTGTGGTGTGTTTCGAAATGTTCTCGTGCAGCTGCGATTTTGAGCAGCGTGCGTCCTGCTGCTCGTTCTCGACGTTCACGTCGGTGCCACGCTGGCTTCCAGGTGGAAGTCGTGGTGCTGCTGCGTACCGATGTCGGAGTCGATGCCACCTGAACCTGAGCGTGCCAGAAATAACGAAAGAGGTAGATACTTATCCTGCGACGTACCCGACCCTTTCTACACAAGTGGCAAGTGCATTCAGGACCACTCAATACCGAAGGACATTTCGGCGCCATGGTATAATGGTGATCTGCGTAGGACGTACCTCCGCTGAGCCTCCCAGAAGCCCATGCGCGCCAGGTGAGCCAAACGCGCCAGGTGCGCCAGGTGCGCCAGTGGCGCGCCAGTTGCGCCAGGTGCGCCAGGTGCGCCAGGTGCGCCAGGCGCGCCACGTGAGCCAGGTGCGCCAGGTGTGCGCCAGGTGTGCGCCAGGTGCGCCTAGCGCGCCAGGTGCGCCAGGTGTGCGCCAGGTGTGCGCCAGGTGTGCGCCAGGTGTGCGCCAGGTGCGCCAGATGCGCAAGGTGCGCCAGGTGCGCCAGGTGTGCGCCAGGTGCGCGCCAGGCGCGCCAGGTGCGCCAGGTGCGCCAGTTGCGCCAGGCGCGCCAGTTGTGCCATACGCGCCAGGCGCGCCAGGTGCGCCAGGTGCGCCAGGTGTGCCAGGTGCGTCAGGTGCGCCCAGCGCGCCAGGTGCACCAGGTGCGCGCCAGGTGCTCCCAGCGCGCCAGGTGCGCCAGGTGCGCCCAGCGCGTCAGGTGCGCGCCAGGTGCGCGCCAGGTGCGCGCCAGGCGCGCGCCAGGTGCGCCAGGTGCGGCAGGTGTGCGCCACGTGTGCGCCAGGTGCGCGCCAGGTGCGCCAGGTGCGCCAGGTGCGCCAGGTGTGCCAGGTGCGCCAGTTGCGCCAGGCGCGCCAGGCGAGCCAGGTGCGCCATGTGCGCCAGGTGCGACAGGTGCGCCAGGTGCGCCAGGTGCGCCAGGTGCGACAGGCGCGCCAGGTGCGCCAGGTCTGCGCTAGGTGTGGCAGGTGCGCCAGGTGCGCCCAGCGCGCCAGGTGCGCCAGGTGCGCCAGATGCACCAGGTGTGCCAGGTGTGCGCTAGGTGTGCGCCAGGTGCGCGCCAGGCGCGCCAGGTGCGTCAGTTGCACCAGGCGCGCCAGGCGCGTCAGGTGCGCCAGGTGCGCCAGATGCGGCAGGTGCGACAGGTGCGTCAGGTGCGCCCAGCGCGCCAGGTGCGCGCCAGGTGCGCCCAGCGCGTCAGGTGCGCCAGGTGCGCCCAGCGCGCCAGGTGCGCGCCAGGTGCGCGCCAGGTGCGCGCCAGGTGCACGCCAGGGGTGCGCCAGGTGCGCCAGGTGCGCGCCAGGTGCGCCACGTGCGCCAGGTGCGCGCCAGGTGCGCCAGGTGCGACAGGTGCGACAGGTGCGCGCCAGGTGCGCGCCAGGTGCGCCCAGCGCGTCAGGTGCGTCAGGTGCGCCCAGCGCGCCAGGTGCGCGCCAGGTGCGCCAGGTGCGCCAGGTGCGCGCCAGGTGCGCCAAGGGGACAGGGAGGCCTCAGAGTGGTCTGCGTAAGACGCACCTCCGCTGGGCCTCCCAGGAACCCACGAAAGTGGCGACAGTTGCGCAGATCGCAGCCCCGCAGGGGACAGGGAGGCCTCAAAGTGGTCTGCGTAAGACGTACCTCCGCTGGGCCTCCCAGGAACCCACGAAAGTGGCGACAGTTGCGCAGATCGCAGCCCCGCAGGGGACAGGGAGGCCTCAAAGTGATCTGCGTAAGCCGCACCCCCGCTGGGCCTCTCAGGAGCCCACGAAAGTGTCGACAGTTGCGCAGATCGCAGCCCCCCAGGGGACAGGGAGGCCTCCAAGTGATCTGCGTAAGACGCACCTCCGCTGGGCCTCCCAGGAACCCACGAAAGTGGCGACAGTTGCGCAGATCGCAGCCCCGCAGGGGACAGGGAGGCCCCAAAGTGATCTGCGTAAGACGTACCTCCGCTGGGCCTCCACCCAGGAACCCAAGAAGTGGCGACGTGGCGCAGCATCGCAGCCCCCCGAGCCCCCCCAGGCTCACCGCGAACACAGGAGAAGAAGAAGAGGAAGAGGGCGGGAGGTAGATACACAGCCTTCTATTTCCAAAACATACCTAACAGCAAGGAGGGTTGGAAACATTAATGTAGCGCAAATGTAATGTAGCAGTTTATGTCCTAGTTGCTGGTGCGCAGGGACGCCCCCCTGAGGGCGGGTACCCGCGCTGGCTGCCGCCCGAATTGCCTTCGGGCACGCGGCTCTCCTCCTCCTCTCTCCTCCTCCTCCTCCCCTCCTCCTC